CCAATCCCAAAAATATATAAAAAGAATAGTAGATGATGGAATAATGGGATCCAAGGGAAATCAGGTTGGCATAATGGTTGAAAACCAACTGAGGGGTGGGCATTTGTCCTGATGGTTAGGACACATCAGAGCCCCATACCTGGGTCTGAGTCCCACTCCAGCTTCTGACTCCAGCTTCCTGCTAATGTATACTCTGGGAGGCAGCAGTGCAAATGAATGATTTCTTCCACCCACACTGGGGGCATGGATTGAGTTCCCAGGTCCCAGCTTCTGCTCACAGGGCTGTTGTGGGCATTTGGGGAGTGGACCAACAGATGGGAGCTCACTAGCATGAGCTCTTTCCCTCTGCCCCATCTCCTTCCTCTCAAATAAATTGAAAAAAAAAAATGGTTAACCCAATCAATGGCCCATATGGGATGCCGGCACTGCAGACGGGGGCTTTAACCCACTATGCCACAGCGCTGGCCCCAGTTCCACTTCTGATGCAGCTCCCTGATAATGTGCATCCTAGGAGCCAGCAGCTGATAGCTCAAGTACTTGGGCCCCTGCCACCCAGGTGGGAGAGTCAGATGGACTCTGGCTCTTGGCTTCAGCCTGGCTCAGCCCTGGCTGTTACAGGCATTTACAGAGTGAACTGGTAGATGAAAAATATCTCTGTCTCTCTCTTTCTCTCTGTCACTCTGCCTTTCAAATAAAAAAAAAACATTTAAAAAATGAGTAAATATATGTTACTGTTGTGTGCTAGGTGCTAAGAGTACAAAAATCCTAACCCTGCTTTCGCAGAGCCTAGCCAGTAACCCAGGACATAGACAAATAAACAAAGAATTATAAGACGGAGTACTAAATGTTATATATATACAAAAAGTGGTTGAGACAAGGCTGGGAAACTAACCGATTGTACTTGGAGGGATTAGCAGAATTCTTAATTTTTCCCAAATATTTGAAGCAAACCAATTTACCAAGAAAAGCTTCCCTAATCTCTTAATGAACAAAAATTATGCCCTCAATTGTTTCTCAACATACCAGGACCACTTCCCTTAGGCTACAACCACGTAAAACTTTATGAATTTCACACACAAAAGACAGACTCTTAATTTGGAAATTAAGCAGAAATATTGTTTGGCAGTGGTTGAGATTTGAATACTTGATAAAATCTGTAATTAACCTCTATACAACTCAAAATTGTCATGTGTTATAGGTTGCTAGGGCTTAAATGTGTCCTTTTTATTTTAATGTCTTTTAAAATGTGTCCTTTTTATTTTTTAAAGATTTATTTTTTATTTATTTGAAAGGCAGAGTTGCAGAGAGAGGAGGGAGACAGAGAGAGAGCGACAGAGAGAGAGATGGATCTTCCATCTGCTGGTTCACTCCCCAAATGGCTGCAACAGCCAGGGCTGGGCAAAGCTGAAGCCATGAGCCCAGTGCTTTTTCTAGGTCTCCCACGTGGGTGCAGGGGCCCAAGCACTTGGGCCATCTGCTGCTGCTGTCCCAGGCACATTAGCAGGGAGCTGGATCAGAAGTGGAGCAGCCAGGTCTTGAACTGGCACCCTTATGTGGTGCCATCATCGCAGATGGAGACATAACCTGCTATGTCACAACGCCAGCCCATGGAATGTGTCCTTTTTATGAAGACATTCAGTGCAGTTTTGACAAACTACACAATGATGTGGTGGAAGCCCTGGCAATGGAGTTTAAGGAGATTGGGTGGGTGGACTTGAAGCAAGAAAGTCCTGGGTTCAACTTCTAGATCCAAATTCAAATTCTATTTCTGTATAAGTGGGCAAATTATCTGGTTTCTCCATTTTCAGTTTCCTCTTCTGTAAAATAGGATTGCATTTTAATTATTATCTTTTTTTTTAAAGCCAGAGAGAGAGACAGAAAGAAAGGTTGTCCTTCTGTTGGTTCACTCCCCAAATGGCCATGGTGGCTGGAGCTGCGCTGATCCGAAGCCAGGAGCCAGGTGCTTCCTCCTGGTCTCCCATGCGGGTGCAGGGTCCAAGCACTTGAGCCATCCTCCACTGCTGTCCCAGGCCACAGCAGAGAGCTGGATTGGAAGAGGAGCAACCGGGACTAGAACCAGTGCCCATATGGGATGCCGGCGCCACAGGCGGAGGATTAACCTAGTGCGCCACGGCGTCGGCCCCTAATTATTATCTTATAGAGTCATTGTGAAGGCTAAATAAAATAATGCATGGAAAGTGCTTGAGATAATGCCTGACACATGACAGACACTCTTGGGTGGTGGCTGCGGTGGCTCTCATCCCTGTTATTACCATGGGGATGATGATGATGTATGATGGTGACATTGTTTTATTGTTATTGTTGAAGTATTTTTAAGATTTATTTATTTATTTGAGAGGCAGAATTACAGACAGAGAGAGGGAGAGACAGAGAGGTCTTCCATCTGCTGATTCACTGCCCAAATGGCCACAATGGCCAGAGCTGGGCTGATCTGAAGCCAGGAGCCAGGAGCTTCTTCTGGATCTCCCACATGGGTGCAGGGGCCCAAGGAGTTGGGCCATCTTCCACTGCTTTCCCAGGTCATAGCAGAGACCTGAATCAGAAGTGGAGCAGCTGGGACATGAGCCAGCACCCATATGGGATGCCAGCACAGCAAATGGAGGCTCAGCCCATTATGCTGCAGCCGACCCCTGGAGTGTTTTAAGAAGGCATAATTCATTTCTTTCTTTTAGACACCGCCAAAAGATGGATTTGTAATTGCTGATGTTCAACCAATAACAAGTAATTATCCGGAGGAAAAGCAGTCTCCCTCATCAGCTTTTCGGTCCTCCTCTTCAAGGAAGAAGAAGAATACAGGGGAGAAAGAACTCCCACCTTGGCGATCCTCTGATAAGCATCCTACTGATATCATTCGTTTCAATTACCTTGACAACTGTGAACCCATTGAGCACACCTGGCAAGGGTAAGAAGCTCCATGTTCCTCTCAACTGCTTTGTTTTTTGAAATAATTTATTGGTACTTCAGTGCACGAAATAAAACTTATTGTGAAATACAAAACTGTCAATACACTGAAGCAAAAGTACTTGCTGACTATTGCTAGCAGATTCGTCCTGTTCGTTATGATTTGTTTGTGTTTTCAGCTGTGATGAGTTAGCAGTCTAGCTTCTTTTAATATTTTAATATTCCAATCCCACACCACAGGCTTCTTTCTGGGCTTTCTCCTTTCCATATTTGTACCTCCCTTCTTTGAAGGTGAGACAACTGGCTTTTGTTTTATTTACTTGTTATATTATATGGACCATAGTATATGTACCTATAATATGTATAATATATTAATATTTACTTATAAATCCTGGAATTAATTTCAGGATTAGCAGTCTCTAGCAGTATGAAAAAAAGCCTTTTAACTAGAATCCAATACTTAATTATAATTCCTTTGCCTTTGGTCTGAGAGTGTATACTCATAACACTGTGTTCAAAGTTATATGGGTTCTTTTTTCTTTTTAAAAAACATTTATTTATTTGAAAGGCAGAGAGAGAGAGAGAGAGAGAGAGAGAGAAAGAGAGAGATCTTGCATCTACAGGCTCACTCCCCAAATGGTTGCAATGACTCTGACTGGGCCAGACCAAAGCAAGGAGCCAGGAGCTTCTTCCCAAGTCTCCCACGTGGGTGGCAGGGACCCAAGCACTTGGGCCATCCTCTGCTGCTTTTCCAGGTGCATTAGCAGGGAGCTGGATAGGAAGTAGAGCAGCTGGGACTTGTTCTGGTGCTCATATGGCAGCTTAACCTGCTGTGCCTCGATGCTGGCCCCTAGGTTCTTTTCAAAATGTCGCCCTCAGTGTGGTTATGTTACATGGCTGTTAAATTAAAAGCATACAGAAAAGTATGCTCGGGGAAATATCAATGTCATTCTTCCCAACTCTTCCACCCGACTCAACCCCCAACACCTTTTCCATTCCTACTAACAAACCTCAGTAGTCTGTGGCCCGTCATTCTTGTGCTGCCTTTTGCACAGAGCTGCATTAATGTAGCATTTTCCAACAATCCGATTGGCAAAACCGTAAAGCGTGACAGTATATTCCATTGGTGAGCACGTGGGCAACAGGCACCTTCATGCGCTGCTGTTGGGGCTACACATTGCCAGATACCTTATGGAGGAGGTGCCTATGGTTCACGTTGATTTTGGTGAAGCCTTTAACAGGAGCTCAAGATATGATTGAATCATAAACAGTAAAATGTGGGCTGATGGTGTTATTAATTTAATTTGACAATCATATTCAAAAGCTGTTAATTACTGGCCCTGAGTCAGCCTGGAAGAGGGGTTGAAAATGAGAGCCATAGTGTTTGTTCCATTCTTGGCCTAAATCTGTTCAACATTTCCAGTGTAGAAAGGACTGCTTGTTTAAACAATAATCAAGGTTCAGAATCATCCAGAATGAGGAGCCTGGATTAAAAAAGAAAAGGACATTCAGTAAATTTATATATATATAAAGTCTGATTTAGTTGTAAAATTTGAATTGTATCATATCAAGATGTTCATACAGGGGTCAGCGTTAGAGCATAGTGAGTTATGTTGCTGTTATGACACCAGCATGCCATATCGGAGTGCCACTTTGAGTCTTGCCTGCTCTACTTCCCACCCAGTTTCTTGCTAATGCACCTAGCAAGGCAGCAGAGGACAGCCCAAGTACTTGTGTCCCTGCTGGTAACAGGGGAATCCCAGATGATGTTCCAGGCTCCTGGCTTCAAATTGGCCTAGCCCTGGCTGTTGTGGTTATTTGGGGAGTGAACCAGCAAATGGAAGACCTGTTTTTCTCTCTGCGTCTCCCTCTCTCTCTGTCACTCTGCTTTTTAACCGTGGTGCAGTAGGTTAATCCTCCGCCTGCGGCACCGGCATCCCATATGGGTGCCGGTTCTAGTCTCTGCTGCTCCTCTTCCAATCCAGCTCTCTGCTGTGGCCTGGGACAACAGTAGAAGATGGCCCAAGCCCTTGTATGGGAGACTGGGAAGAAGCACCTGTCTCCTGGCTCCGGATCGGCGCAGTTCCAGCTGTTGCAGCCATCTGGGGAGTGAACCAACGGAAGGAAGACCTTTCTCTGTCTCTCCCTCTCACTGTCTATAACTCTACCTCTCAAATAAATAAATAAAATTTTTTAAAAAAATAAATCTTAGGAAAAAAGAGAGAGATGTTCATACATTCTGATAAGATAATTCCTTATACACACGTTTTTTATACTGCCTTTCTGAAGTGAATGGTAGCACACAATACACACCACTTTTCCCCCCTTTCTTTGTTCATGTATCAGTATATCCTGGAGATCACCCCACAGTGTATCTAGAAGTACCTGCCTTCCTTTTTACTGCTCATAGTACTCAATTGTGCGGATATCCCAGAGGGCTTTCAACCGGTTCTCTACTGGTAGACATTTGACTTATTTCTAGTGAGACCATCTTTAAAGTCACAGAAACAACAAAATGAAACACACAAAGAGCTATGCCAACCACCCAGGTGCTAAAGTGATAATTTATAATTTTCCCACTTTCTTGCAAGTTACAGAAGAAGGAAAAGAAATGAAATGATCCCAGAATTCAGCCAACGGTCACATGATAAGAAAAATAAGTTGCAGGACAGAGCCAGACTACGAAAAGCACAGTCACTGGTAAGCATTGCTAATAAAAGTCTCACCATAATGTTTATGAAAATCACTAGCCCTCTAATGCTATTTGTGAAACCGAATTTGTTTTTCATTAGAGTCTTCAGGTGCTCATTTAAATCCTGATCTCTGATGCTGACCCGTGGATGAGCTGTATGGCCTTGAAGATGCCCATTCTTTAATCTTTTTGAGCCTGATTTTTCATGTTTTTTTTTTTTTTTAAAGACTGGGAACTGATAAGCATGAGATGGTCCTGAAAACTATGCAATATAAAGGGAGTATTATTTTCATTGGTTCTTTCTTTGTTTAGGGCAGGTGCTACCAGAAACTGCGTCTCTCTAGAGTGCAGGTGCCACTGACCTAAGAGAAAGGCATCTCTCCGTAGCTCTCCTGCTGCCAGCAAAAAGTGGTTATAAAAGTGCACTTAAAGTAATACCGGAAAAATGAATTAAGAACTTTTCTCTCCCTAATTAAAAAACAGCTAATTGACTCCCTAATAAAGTCAGTAATTGTGATGAGGGACCATTATCATTTTCTCACAGTTTCCCAAACCGAACCCCAATGGATCCCTTTCAGCAACACATGATGAGTTTTTAGAGCAATATACAGGGGAATATGGATGGAATAAAAAGTTTACATATAGTAGCAAAGATTTAAAGAAAAATTAAGGACATGCACTCAAGGAAAATTAATATAAAACGAATGCCAATTGGGAGAGGAATAAGTGTGTACTCATGAATAAATCACTTCTATAGCTCTGCTTTAAAGCCGTATTGCTGTTTTGCTTAAATGTATTTTCAAGTGTTATGTTCCAAAAGAGAGAGAGAGAGGCTTCTTAAAATACACTGGTCCGTATGCTGAAGGGCCAATTTTGTTGAACTGGGTGAGGATTATCGCAGAAATGTACAGCTACCCAAGGGAACAGGGCAGCCTAGAGCAAAACAGTAAAATTGTCAGTGAAATCATTAATTGAGAAAAATAACTGTATGGTTTCTTACCAGGCCCCTATAGCATGCTTCTGCCTGGTTTCCAGCCCTTGCTAGGCAAGGAATAGAAGTACAGGGACAATAAAGAATTTGAAGGACAATAAAAGTTGATGGTGATGTAAAAATCTTCAGCTCAGAAAAGCCCTTGAGAGCATTTCAGGCATGGAAAGCCAAGACATTGTTGCAAAAAGTGTCCTACATGAAGGATCTCTGTGAGTGAAATCACAGTGGAAAGAAGGGGCCATCAAAGAAGGAGGTACTTTTCTCTGAAGGGAGGAGAGAACTTCCACTTTGCTTATGGCTTTGTCTAAATACTGAAGGAGTTTGTGGATTCAAAAGTCTTCCATAGCCTAGGCAGCTCATGTCAAGAGCCTTGGGTGATCACTGATGTCATACATAAGAGTTTTAATTGTTAAATTAACAACAGGAGTCACTGTGCACTAACTTCCCATACAGGAACTCTGTCCTCAAAGAGTTATATTATGAGAGTTAACAACAATACTTGTTCTCAAAGATTTATTTTGTTTTAGTATATTAAGTGGAGAATATTCTTATGTCTCATAAGTTTTAGTTATGCCTAATACCCAACTCCATTGTTTGTTTTCTTGGGTACTGACTTAATTAATGATAAAACACATTCTCAAGGACTTACTTTCTTTTAATATGTTAAGTGGACAATATTCTTATGTCTCACAAGTTATAGTTATTACTAAGTGCTCACAAAAGATGTATCATTCTTGGGTGCTTCTTTAAAGTTAATTACGTTTCTAAAAAAAAAAGTGAAATTAACTTTGAGATGCAGTGACTTTGAACAGCCCTTATCTCAATTGTTGAGGAACAGTTTTTTTTCCTTTTTGTACAAAATTTTGAACTCTTTACTTAGTATAGAGTTGGTCTTCTGTGTATAAAGTTAATTGAAAATGAATCTTAATGGAGAGTGGGACTGGGAATGGAAGAGGGAGGAGGCGAAGGGGTGAGAGTGTGGGCTGGAGGGCAGGTATGGTGGGAAGAATCACTATATTCCGAAAATTGTGCCAATGAAATGCATAAAGTTTATGTTTCATAAATACAAGGTTTCTTTGGGAAAAAAAAAATTATCAGTCTAAACAGTTCTCCTGCTTAAAAAAACACAACCACCAAAGGCTAACCAGAAGCCATCCTGTGGGCTTTTGACATTAGCCATCTGTCCAACACTTAGAAGGAATTGCTAAAGTTTAAAATAGGCATTATAAATTAAAAAGTGAAAAACACTGTGCTAATTAGGCCTGAATGGGAAGCCAGGGTAAATTAAACAGTGATAAAGAACAATTAGCTATTAGCAAACAATGAACATGATTGAATCTACTTGTATTGTTTTTGTAAATATGCCCATTATAGTCACTGTTTCTAGTTAGTAGTTTTGATAAACAGAAGATATCCTTAAATTCGCCCAAAGAGCATGCTGTGACATTTGACTCGTGCCTGGCTGTGGGAGGCTCAGGTCCCCTCTCCGCAGAGTGGCAGTTTGTCCTCCCTGTGGGCCACGCTCCTCAGAGGAAATAAGCCGCCCAAGTGATGCAGGAGAGCTGTGAAAATGAAGACAGCGCTGAAAGCGAAGCCAGGAGGAGAGGAAAGGGGACTGAGAGCTCCATTCAGGAGACCTAAACAGAGTGGGAGTAAAATTTTCCTAACTTCAACTCTAGAGATAATTGGTTATGGCAGACTCAGCCCAACCCCAGAAAATATCTTGAGTTCATTTGAGAGAAAGTTCCCATATCACTTTGACAGGTTTATGAAGGAAGATTTCAGGAGGAACCAGAGTAACAGGCAAGCAGGTGAAACGGAGGCGAGCCAAGGCGAAGAGCAGGGGTGAAAGAGCCAGCGCTCTAAGCCTTAAGCAGGAGGTGATCTGAGACCTGAACATCAGAAGCCTTCTTGCCCCCATCTTGGAAAAGAGGGTGGGGGATGCTTGGAGAATTGAAAGCTTTCTCAAAGGGAAGAGGAAAAATCACAGGAGTATAAAAGAGTAGAAAGAATGTCCCTTGGGCCATCTCTCCAGTGCTATGCCTATATAGGCCATGGATCCTGTCTTCCCCTTTTGTCTTCCAGTGCTAGAAATTTCACTTATGAGCCTTCTCTTTCTCATCCTCAGGGAAAGTTTCAAATCTACACATACTTCTGTAAGCTTGCCGTGTCTTCTGTTATGGTAGAGGTTTGAGTAGCCAAAGCTTCACTGTTTGAAAGGGTACCTGATTTCCTCTTCTGCTTCCAGTTCTTTTTTTAATTTTAATTTTGCAAAGCAGAGACAGAGGGAGAGAGTTCTCCCATTCACTGGTTCATGCCCCCGAATGCTGCATCAGCTGGAGCTGGACAGGTCTCGCAAGAGGTTGGTTAGGGACCCAAGTCCTCAAGCCATCACCTGCTGCCTCCCAGGGGGCACATTAGCAGGAAGCCTGACTTGGAAGCAGAGCTGGAACTCAAATCTGCACCAACTTAGCCACTGGGCCAAGTGCCCATCCCTTCTGCTAGGACCTCCTACCCGCCAATCCCCGGGGTACCTCAGTTATAACCGCTTGATCTAACGATTCTTTGGTATGAATGATTGATAGAGGATGAGAATAAAGTTTACATTTGATGCTAATGCATTACAATTTCCAAGACTTCTTATGAAAGCGATATAAGATGGAGAAATCCCAATTACTATCCGTTATGAGAATCAAATTACCTACAGAACAAAGCAATTGAAAATATAAACACAGTACAGTCAGGTATCATATTCTTTAAACTTCAAAGATTTTCAGTCTTGTGTAAAGATGCACGCATATTTGAAAAAAAAATCTTAGCAGCTGGCCCCACAGTTCATTTTAGGGAAGGAGGGAGCTGCCTCCTGCAGAAGAGGGGGAGACTTTGATAAACTCGTAGGGAGGGGGAGACCTCGAGGGCTTGGGGTTAGCAGGCACCAGCACTTCAGAGGAGGGGAATGCCTGCTCTGCCTGAGATTAGAAAAGAGTTTGTTGTTCCTGCTCCTGGCAGGGAAGCGGGGGAGGAGGTGAGGGAGCGGGAGAGGAGAGGAAGAGGTGAGAGGAGGGAAAAAGAGAAGCTGAGATTAGGTCTGGGAGGTGGCCAGAGCAGTGTTAGGATTATACCACCTGTTCCAGTGGAATTAGTTTGCTGTTACAGGGAATGTAAACCTCTCCTTCCATCTCGGTGGTAAATGTACCCAATTTATATATGGAAGCAAGAGTTTTGAAATCTAGACTACGGCCAAGAACCCTTAGGATAATGCTCACAAAACAAGGAGGTGGTCTTTGGATTTCCAAGGCCTAAGAGAATCCCAGCTGATCCTCTTGCTTCAATTCTTATTTCTTTTCCTACCGAGTTTAGGTATTAAAACAAATTCTTTTTGTTTCACATGGAACTTCTACTTGGGAGTTAGAAATTCTCTCACTTTCTAGGTCCTGGTTTTTGGCCATTAATTTCAGTGTGTTTGCCTAACTACAATGTTCGCCTAAGTACGGAGTAACAAAAGCCCTTAATTGCCTGCTTACACTGATGGCCCTAGATAAGCTCTTATCTTTTCCTGTGCTCTGCTGATTCCAGCCTCTGAAATTACCTTTTCCATTTCTTTCTTTCTTTTTTTTTTTTTAAGATTTATTTTATTTATTTGAAAGGCAGAGTTACAGAGAGAGGTAGAGATCAAGAGAGAGAGAGAAGTCTTCCATCCACTGGGCCAGGCCAAAGCCAAGAGCCAGGAGCTTCTTCTGAGTCTCCCACATGAGTCCAGGGGCCCAAACACTTGGGCCATCCTTTATTGCTTTCCCAGGCACATTAGCAGGGAGCTGGACCTGAAGCAAACAGCCGGGACTTGAATTGTCGCCCATCGTTGCCCACATGGGATGCCGGCGCTGTGGGCTGGGGCTTTAACCTGCTGTGCCACAGCGCTGGCTCTTCCACTTCTTTCCAGAATAACTTTACTCCTACTGTCCTGGGTTGTTTGTTTAAAAAATACTCCTTTAAGCTTTATCACATTTCCCCCCCTCA